GTAGTGTGGGAGTCATTCATTTGCTGAAGTTGTATGCAGAGTGTGTCAAACACAAAGACCTAATTTGTGAATCCGTTATAGTGAAGCATATGTTCAAGAACTATTCACATTCGCCTTTCCTTAGAAAAAAAAAGATTTAAAAAAAGATATATTCATTCACGTGTTTACAATAAAAAACACTATAATCATCTTTTAAGATTTGTATGTATGTTAGGTCTAGTTGCAGTAAATAAACTTATCATATTCAAGACAGCGACAAAGCCACACATGTAGTCTCGTCAGTATGGTACATTTTTATTATTTGGTACATTATGGTACATTTTTATTACTTGTTCGATGCTTTTTAGATTTACCACATAAGGCAAACTTCACTTAGTTCTCTTGAATGTCCATCTTTTCTGCAGCTTACAGTATTCGGTCCGATCTCCACCGCACAACACCCCATGTTGATTTTCCTACCTTCTACACCAGTCTCCTCCGTCACTCCATGTTATACAATTTTCGATAGCCATAAAATCTACAGTTAATACCCTGAACCAATTTCAGTAATCTGTTTTCCTACAACAATAGCCCTTCTTGATCTCAATTTTAAAATCACAACGGCAGGTGGGGAAAATGTCCGAAATTAGAAAATGATAATCAACCCTCCTTCCTACTAATCCCTACCAGGACCGTCTTTTCAACGGCGTCAGGTGGCCTGGGCAAAGTGATGCTTGGAGGCCACCCTATTCCTCTCTAACATATTCTAGTAATGTTAGGCCAAACAGTAGGGCCAAGGTTGGCGCGCGTGCATTATGTCTTATGACCAATTTTAATTCAGAAAATATCACTGGTGGGTAGGGTTTTTAAGGCTTTTGAGAAAGGGGTTTTGTTGTGTGTGGGGGGGGGCGATCTATCAGCACCAAAACTAGACATAATGTCGCTCAGGGCCAGCTCTGACTCCGTCGCCCCCGCTATACATAAAATTAATTCGTGCATTTTGGCGCACATCTGAATTTAGTTTTGTATCATTCTACACTTCCATTCAAAAGGTTGTACGTGACAACAACAACAGCACCATTAAAAAAAAAAAAGGAAGAATAAAATAAAAATGACTATTAGCATGTTGTACGAAAAGGAAACAAAACTACAAGCATCATGATTACCTATTTATTACCCTTTGTTACATTTTTATTAACTTTTTTGCATTTATTTTAGTTATTTCCAAGTTTTAAAGATACAAAAAAAAAAAAAAAAAAAAAAAAAAAAATAAAAAAAAAAAAAAAAAAAAAAAAAAAAAAAAAAAAACAAATGTAAAGAAATATAATAATAGAGCAACTTTTTTTTTTTGTAAAAGAGATCTATAGATTAATTATGGCTATATCAAAACGCGTAATTTTTGAAAAATAAATTGTATAGCAATAGCATAACCATGCTCTATTCACAAACCTGATTCATCTGTTGAAGCAATATCAAACTGTCAAACCATTCTTCAAATAATTAATGAACATATAGCGTCTATTATAAAGCTCTTGTTTTACTATTGCACAATTGACAATTGGATTTTTTTAAAAAATTGATGATTTTTTCTAAAAAAAAATTTTTTTTTAAAATGAATTTATTTGCATATTTATTAACTTGGGAAAGTTGTTTCCGTACATTTTGAAATCAAATCAAACTAAATATTCTTTAACAATATGAGTACCTAAATATTGATGCTCGTAGAAACGTGGAGTCCCCTTTTAGCGCGAGGCCCCATTTTAGCTTGAGGCCCTGGGCAACTGCCCATTGTGTCCATGCCGTAATCTTAAAGTATATGATCATTTAAAAAATAAAATCACAGCGTGATTAAAAAAATCTGAAGGCTTATCGCTTAGCATCAACACTCTAAAGTGGATTAGGTAGCATGAGATCAATTGAGACTGGTCTGAGTCCCGTATTTCAGCTCTTTAACATTCCGCTATCACCGCTAACAAGAGAGGAAGGATTAAAAGAAAACAGGGTAATTTACAAAAATCGTTGACAATGAAGTTATTTTAGTATGAAGTGCGAAAGAAGTGGTTAGAAATTGCACTTAACAATCTTAAATGCCTTTATATATATATATATATATATATAAAGAAAAGATGGGGTAGGGGGGTCGCAGGAGACCCATTGCCCACGCTACTCCTGTCTTGGCTGGTGCTCACGGCTGTTATAAAAAATGGGGAGGCTTTGTGGAGCCACGCTCAGTCACATCTTTAAACAAAAATATCAGAAGACAGTCTCCTTATGAAATAATTATAAAAACAAATTCTTTGAATTAACAGTTTTCTATGAGCCATGGCTTCCGGGTAAATTACAAAGGTTCTAAAATGCTTATAGTGTTGATGAAATTTCTAATACATGTCTCATTCAAACGTGTTAAAAGAAAATAATGGAGATACTAACATTATTTTACGAAAATACAGAAATGCACATTTATTATTTGTTGGTGCTGGATGTCAGAGCAAATACTCTCGCAACATTAACAGCAACGATATCAGACCTTGGGAAATTTCCACGAATCTGGGGAATTGATACACCCTGGGGAACTGGTGAATTTAGATATCGGTGAAAAGGTCGGGAAAAAATAATGCAGGAAGGAAAAAGGAATAATTTTTAAAAAATGTTAATTTTTTACAAAGAAGAAGAAAGGGAATTATTTAAAATAAAATAAATGGGGCGCGGGGGGGGGGGGTTAAGTGGTGCACTTTAAGTTAGTTCAAGTGTTACAATTACATTTGCAAATCTAACAATGATCATGTTATTTTGCTTTCAATCGAAAAAAAAAATACAATTTTTAAGTTATAAGATATATAACCCCTATAAATTTAAATATTTATCAATAATGGGACTTTCTTGTCACTTTTTCTGTTGATGAAGACTTAGGTCTTAACGAGCTAGGCATTTTGTGTTTTCTAAATAGGCCTATTTGTTATTTAGATTTTGAAAAAAAAAAAACGTTTAAAGGAGGCATGAAATGTCAGTTGAATGACTTTTAAGTACCATATAAAAAATATTTAAAAAACAAATATCATCCTTTTTTAATCTTGGGAAATATGTGGAAAATGTTTAAACCCAACTGGGGAAATTCGAGTGATCTGAATGGCAGAGTTACGCCGCAACACTGGGTACCACGCGTGATCAGGCAAATTGACCTTTTTAACTCTCAAAAGACCAAATCTTGAAAAAATGTGCAGGTTTTTTTTTTAAAGTTAAGGCCAGGTTCATTTTTAAAAAAAAGTCGTTTGGCTTGAAAATTTTCATTTGGCCTTTGCCCTATTATTTGTTTTGGTTTTCTTCATGAAAATATTAGCTGCTTTAAATGTCAAGAAGATCCATTTCCTAAACTATTTTTACGAGAAATGATGAACAACACAAACGATTGTAGTGTAGACTTTTGCAACATTGGCCATTCATCTGGTTTGGCCTTTTCAAAAAAATTATCTGGCAAGCCTGCACCCGTGGGCTGCACCGGGTCAAAATATTTTTGTTTTAAAACTTAGCAGGCAGATCACTGATAGACTAACACGTTTTTAGATGATAACTTGAATGTCCTAACTGAGCCGACTCTTAAGGAGGTGAGTGAATATCGAAACATATTTAAATAATTTTCAGAGTAGCACAAATTTAATAACTAAAATTAGTTTTGCTATTTATACTAAATTATACCCTCTAAAATTTTCCGCGAAAACTTTAAATGCTGTTTTATTGGGAATTCGCGTATAAAATTTACTATTTTTTATAAGACTGCTTCGAACTTTAAAACGTCGAGATGGATGTTGCTTAATTGCTACACAATTCTATAGAAAGTTACATTTTAACTATTAATTAAGGTTCTCTTTGAAGGAAATAATTAATATTACCAAAAAATTTGTAACAGGTCAAAAGGGTCTTCTTTATTCACGGAAATGACATGGAGTTAATTTTAGATCTTTATTTTCCCGTTATGAATTGTTATTTTTTAAGAAGCTCGTGGTTTTAGAGAATAAGAGATTAGAAGTGATAAATAGGTGATTATTAATTATACTCTTTACAAAAAAATAAACTCTTAATCACACACTCCATCGCATTACTACTACAAGGATTGCCAAAAGTATTTATTAAAATACAATCTCGTTCTTCAAACAAACCCAGATTGAAGTTCACTCAAGACTCAGAGTTTTTTTGGTAAAGGTTCAAGAGCGGTCAATTGTTATTATTGGAGCATAATATTTGTGTAATGGACTGGCTACCAACCTCGCCGCCCTACTTTGAGATTGCCTGATAAGGATATCACCCGGAGAGACGCCATCATTTTAATATATATATATATACATATATAGACGATTTTTTTTTAAAGACCTTATACAATGTCAGTTTTTAGATTGTCAGTAAAAAAATAAGATGATTGGCGGGTCGTGATTGATCCGAGATATTTTGAGTCGGTTTCAGGGTTAAACTACTGTTAAACAAGAGTTAAACCAGGGGTGCTCGTGGGATTCAGCTGGTTAGTGAAATCATGTGATTCAGCTGGTTAGTGAAATAAAAAAAATGAATCCTATTTATGGAATTGTATTGTTTGATTTCGTTATCCGTTTGTCACTATAAAACGATTTAAAATTAAAAGGTTTGATATGTGAGAGACGAGAACAAAGGACTATATCACCAGTTAAAATGTATTTAGGCCTATAAAAATATACTACGAAAATCCAAAACTTATGTCATATCCTTATTCCCGATCTGATGTTTCAGGGAAATTTTTAGGAATACCCCGAGAACTTTTTTTTTTTTAGCTTACGGGAATATATTTTCAATCGTGTTTTTTTTTTCCAGATGTACCGAGTTTATTCTATTAGCCGGAAAGAAGATGTTTGGATAGAGGGTATTGTAACAAACGGCGTTTATTATTATTTTTTTAATTAAACAATTATCGTAAATTATTAGTTAGGTTTTTTTTTTCATTTTTAAATTCCTACTTTTAAATAAATGGATGTGTTTTACATCAATCATTATTCATGAATTTCTGTTACATTAGTATTTTATATTTCAAACAGCGAGCCGCGCCCATTGGGATAATATTTGGTATGTAAATGTAGTTTTGATACCGATTTTCTCTTGATCTATTCATATGGTCCATAAAGGAGACGGGTGAGGCTGGCGACCTTTTCATTATGATAGCCAAGTATCTAGAGTTGTCTTGTTAACTCAGTCATCGAGTACCACAGGGTCTCCGTGGCTAAAATAGATACGGGATATTAAGAGAATGTACTGAAATGGATACGAGATGCTACGAACTTACACTGAAATAGATACGAGATATTACGAGACTGCATCGGACGCCATCACATCTCACATAGAGCCAGGAAGCTAGACTCTTCAATTCTCCTGTAAGTTAAATCCCGTACATAACTCCTGTAACAATTACATATTATAATAAGATTAATGTATGTGCCTTCACTTATTTTGGGCATACTATATTAACGAATCACATATTTTTTCAACAGGATTATTGCTCGTTCGGAAATTTGAAAAAAAAAAAAAATCTTTATTGCCTGTTTGGTATTTTGCTCATGCTTTGAATCCCATGTAACATACCGAGTTGTCACACGTGTTTATTGAACGAGTGTCATACTGTGGATAGATAACCTTTATAACACTCACCCACAGTTATCCACTTTGTCTCTTGCCAGTCATTTAAATTTACAGATGCTTGTCATGCCGAAAATAACCTGTGTTATATAAATGTAACTTTTCAGATATTGTCCTTCTTTCGCTTTATATGCTTTTAACCATACTCTTAGAGCCAATAAAAAATATATAGGTCTCAGGACCTAATTTTTTTTTGAGTTTCTATAATTTCTAATAACTAAATATTTAAAACTGTCAGTCACCCACAGCTCGACTCCATATATATTTTCAGATTGGTGTTGCCATGGAAAAGCATGTACAATTAATCCTCATTAGTCTGCGTCAGTCGACGATGACTTTTTGCATAATCCACATACACATATGTTTCCCTCTGGTATGCGGGACACAGAAGGAACAAGAACATTCCAAACAAGAACTGAAATGTTTTGATTCTAGCAGAATCTTGGAAAGCTGTCCGATATTTGCATACTCGCGTTGTAGACAGTGGGTGCCATGCACGGGTTGCAGAGAAATCACTGTTTGTCCTGCCAGCGTTGAGTACAAAAATTACCGTCGACGCTTATCGTCATACAGACATCTGAGTTTTGATTCTGATTCATTGCAAGCAAGCATGTTGGCCCAGGACGGCTTCTACTTTGAATACAGCGAACAAGGCGCAAGATTGACCTGCTTTAGGTAACAGTAGCAACTGCGTTGGGAACAATAGACCAAATTTAATAGCTACTTTGAAGTAAGGGACACAATAACAGGCAAAGTGGTCAGCCGGATTTCGAGAATGATATTTTTTTTTTTTTATCATTGTTATCTTAATAATCTTACCAAAAAAGTTTCATGGGTTTGTGCACACTGCATTTACAACGATAATCAGATTTCTATGATCGGTTTTGAAAACGTTTTATTGATGATTTTAAAAAAACCAACTAAACATGAATCAAATTTTAATTATTTTTATAAAAATGGCAGAGAAAATGTCCAAAATAGTTTAAATAATTAAAAAAAAATAATATACTTAATTTTAAGAAAATTACAATGATTGATGCATGCCCCCCCCCCCCAAAAGGAATTTTCGGTAAAAAAGTCCCTGGCCTATATATTTACCTAATATATATTTATCACGGCCAGTAAAAAGGAGATGATCAAGTTAAATCATATATCTACAATCAATAATAGTTTTGTAAAAAGTTGAATCTAAAATCCATTAAATATTCTTAAGGATCTGTCCTGTTTTACTTTTAACATATATTTAAGGGCCTATAGGTAGTCGATAATGCAATGGGTGCTGTGTGATGCTATGTTGAGATTGTTGTGAAGCTATAAAAATAACATGCTAAGGAAATACTTTCTAATCCCCATCTTCGCTTCTTTTTGTTTTTCCACCCCGTTTACGAGCAGCTGCCAAGCATCGTGGACACTGCCAGAAATGGAACGGGCACAGGGGAATAGGCATCACCTGGAATGTGATTTCAGGTATGGTGAGAATTATCTAAAAAAAAATAATATGACCAAATACATCCAGGCAGCTGACATACATTCTCAGACAACTCATTGCGTGTAAAACTCTAAAGACAGACACAAACTGTTTTTAAAATCAAATTATTATGACTATGGCTACTAGTTACCTCGAATGACAATCTTTTAAAACTTGGTCGACGCCGCAGCTAAGATAATAGCACAAATCCATGTTTCATTTCTTTTGTTAATAAAAAAAAAGTTACTTTAAATACCTTTAAAGACGTACAGTTTACATTTTAAACATGTACATCTCTTGTTATGTAAATGGTCCATTTCACTAAGAGCTTTTGAAATTTAAGGACATATTTTCTTTGACTTCAGACCGCCTCATATCAGACAGCCACAAGGCAGCGAAGACGAGTCGGTGGCTCCAATAGACCTCTCATCGGGGTACACTTACCAAGAACTTTTCTATGGATCCGACCGAGTCCCCTATGACCCATATGCCGCTACCATTGACAGGTGAAATTGTATGTAACCGATGGCTTGCAGTGTATTTGATGATGCTTTCTAAAATGCCATATGGCCTCTTGTAATTATATTGTTGTAGCATCACTGCTCAACATCACTGCTTACCTTTGTCGTAGCACGATATAATTCAATTAAGTATACAAATCGGCAATACATTGTGTCAGTTTTAGACGTGGCACTCTTCTGTTTTCAACACACACAAACACAAATATCCATCCATCCATCCATCCATCCATCCATCCATCCATCCATCCATCCATCCATCCATCCATCCATCCATCCATCCATCCATCCATCCATCCACCCATCCATCCATCCATCCATCCATCCATCCATCCATCCATCCATCCACCCATCCATCCATCCATCCATCCATCCATCCATCCATCCATCCATCCATCCATCCATCCATCCATCCATCTATCCATCTAATCTAATCTAATCTAATCTAATCTAATCTATTCTAATCTAATCTAATCTAATCTAATCTAATCTAATCTAATCTAATCTATCGGTCTGTCTGTCTGTCTATCTATCTATCGAAATCTTCATACACACATCATTAAATGCTATATATTATAAATGTGTCAACAATGACTGCGGCTGCCACTTAATACCAGTAATTCCACAGACGCCGGAGCACTCGTCACAGAAACCTATTCGGAGATATGAACCCGCAGCCTGATGCTGACACCCTCAGGACGACGCTGGGTGTTCGCATATGTGAACACAGAAAATCCATGGATGTGCACGGAATGCCATCAAGAAGGTTAGAGTAATACTATAAAACAAAATATGTTCTTGTTTTATCACTATAGATGTGTTTATATGGTAGCTGATATAAAACCAGTTAATACACATCATCATTACGGCTGTACATCATTTACCGTGTTCATCATTCCCCTGGTCTCAAATCCACCCCTCCCCAATTCTCCATTATCATTCCGACACACCCTCCCATTCCCCACTCCTAACCCTTGACGTCGAGAAATATGTAAAATAAATAGATTTCAATAAGTAATCCAGAGAAGGTGTTCATCATTTCGACGAGAAAATGGACTTCACTTCTACAACTCAACCCTAGTCTTTTATAAGTTTAAGAAATAGTAAAATCAGTGAGGTAGCGTCATCTTGTTCATCACCATCAGTGGCGCTACAGCCCATGTTAGGCCATGGCCTACTCCACTACATCCGCCATCTTGTTTATCATCATCAGTGGCGCTCCAGCCCATGTAAGGCCCTGGCCTGGTCCACCGCATCCATCTTCTTGTTCATCACCAACAGTGGCGCTACAGACCATGTAGGGCCCTGGCCTGGTCCACCGCATCCATCTTCTTGTTCATCACCAACAGTGGCGCTACAGACCATGTAGGGCCCTGGCCTGGTCCACCGCATCCATCGTCTTGTTCATCACCAACAGTGGCGCTCCAGCCCATGTAAGGCCCTGGCCTGGTCCACCGCATCCATCTTCTTGTTCATCACCAACAGTGGCGCTCCAGCCCATGTAAGGCCCTGGCCTGGTCCACCGCATCCATCTTCTTGTTCATCACCAACAGTGGCGCTACAGACCATGTAGGGCCCTGGCCTGGTCCACCGCATCCATCTTCTTGTTCATCACCAACAGTGGCGCTACAGACCATGTAGGGCCCTGGCCTGCTCCACTGCATCCATCTTCTTGTTCGTCATCAGTGGCGCTACAGCCCATGTAGGGCCCTGGCTCTCTCAATCACATCCGTCATCTTATTACCATAGTATTTTGAGTTTTTTTTTTGTTAACCTCGTGTCAAAAATGAGAAATCTGGTTCAAACATTGAAGTCTTTGATAATACAGAATTTGATAATAGAGAATTTGAAGCTGATATGCAAAGGTTTTAATCTAAATTATTTAAAACCTGACCTTTTATACTCTAAATTTGCAAAAATCTTTGCCGGAGTATTTCTGTTCATATCCTCGCTGTCATTCACGTCTTGAAAAGACTGACGAATGCCACATTTTAGAATTTTAACTTACTTATAATATAAGACAACTGACATATTATTGAACTCTCCCACAAGAAGATGCCGTCGTCGGGACGGTGAGGACACAGAAGACACGAGTCGTGATTTGCATCCCACGGGGCCCAGCCGGGAACAACAAGACATTTTGCCGGGAAGTTCGGACGAGACGGGGTTGTCTGACGCGGTAGGTGGATGTGAGCTCAGTGGTAAGTGAACAATTACGTCATCCGTGCTATATTTTTAAAAAACTCTTTAAAATTAAAGCCAATAGTTTTCTGCACCGTTCTAAGCTCAATTTATTTCCTATGATAAAAAGGAGTCTTGGGATGTGCCCAAAAATATGAAAATAAATGAAATATGTTTGAGTAATTGGCCTGTGGCATTGTTAAGACTTTAAATTTTTATAAGGGAAATATTTTAATTCTATATTCACTTCTCAGCAACTGGTATTTTTTCAATTTTTCTTATGTTTTCTAAGATCCAGAAGAAGACCTAGACTAAACTATGACGTCAGACATACATACGATCAGCAACCATTTCAGCACATCGCGTTTCAGATGGCCTGTGGCATTGTTAAGACTTTAAATTTATATAAGGGAAATATTTTAATTCTATATTCACTTCTCAGCAACTGGTATTTTTTTCAATTTTTCATATGTTTTCTAAGATCCAGAAGAAGACCTAGACTAAACTATGACGTCAGACATACATACGATCAGCAACCATTTCAGCACATCACGTTTCAGATGAGTGCTAAAGTTTGAACGCCGGCAGCATACGAACGCCAGGCTTGTTAAGTCAGAGTAGCAATGGTTCGATGTCTTCCCTCCCCCCCCCCACACCCCTTCATTACATATTAATACGACTCTCTTCTTCGATTTACCATAATCAACGATAATCAATTAATTTACAAATAGTCTTTTGTTTTACCAAAACTACACATTTCAACTAAAAAACAAGAAAATAGCTTCAAATCTTATTAAATAAACAGTGGGTAATTGTGTTTGTGTCATCTGCCCTATACAATTAAAAAAAACAACACAACTATGCCATTGACTAGACAGGCCTGGAAGATACACGGTAGCGCTTCTGTAGAGGCGTGCAGCTGCTGATGCGCAGTGGCGTAGCAAGGGGAGGTGTGAGGGGGCTGTCATTCCGCGGGGAGGCAGTTTCTTCCCTTATTTCTTGGAAAAAGGGGGGGGGGGCAAAATTGTTGGTCCCACTCTCAGGTGGCCCCTACCCTAGCTACGCCACCGCTGATCCAAGTAACTTTTTAATTTATTTTTTTTTTAAGTCCCAGGAGTGACCGATGATTAAGAGTAGAGGATGATTCGAGAGTTGTATATGGTGATGATTAGATTGCTGTTCTTTGTTTTTTTCTGCATTGACGCTAACGTTCACGTGATCTTAGCGCTGATGTGATATCTTGTTCTAATGTGATCTTAGCGCTGATGTGATATCTTGTGTTGACGTAATCTTAATTCAAATGTGATCTCATGTGCTGACGTGAAATTCCCCAGTTTCTTCGACCACGTGATGGTAAGTGTTGACGCAATGTTGATTTGTTTTGGCGATTGTTTATGTATTACAGCGAATGTCACTGAGATGGTTCATGACAACACTACACGATTGATAACATGATATGATTGACAAAATGACATGTTTGCCAACATGACATGATTGACAGCATGGCATGTCTTGTGAAATTGTGATAAACAACGCTGAGATCCTTGATGAAGTTATATATCATGGTTGATTAGATGATTGTTGAATCTGTCGTGGTGAGGTGTCAGACAGAAGATTTAGATAACCTGAACTATGAGAAATAGTTTATTTAGGAGGAAATTATGTTGCTTAATTTTTAATTTTTTTTTAAAAGAAAGAAATGCTATTCACATTGTATCAGTTACTACTACCTCTAGAATCATTTTATGATTAAAAAAAAGATATTAGAAAAAAGGTAGTTTTGAATTTTCGAATAAAACTTTATTGATTATAGTTCTAATTTTATTTAATGAACAGCATTAGAATATCTTTAGCGAATACATAAAATAACCAATAGCACAAAAATGAGAGAGATGGATTTTAAAATTGTAAATGGATGGATGGATCATTGATCTCCTGCGAACGTGGATATATTCGGAAAGATGTATTTATTATATCAATTTACACATTTTTTAACCCATTTTAAGATGGGATTCTTTACAACTTTGGGCAATCTACACCCAGCTATACCAGCTTTATTTTGTACAAAAAGAGAACAATCTCGAAAGCTGAATGATAAGAATTGGAAATGAAAATCAAAATGTTCCTGCGTACCGCGTGAATCCTATAAATACGGATGGATTTTCTACAGCAGAATGAATGTTAAAACAATGACCATTTTTATTTCCATACCAACTCTTATCACCTGGCTCCAGGTCGTTCATCTTTTTTTTTTTACAAATGTTTACACTGTTCCAGTACTGGAAGCATGCAATCAATAATATTTATACATTGTGTTTGAAAAGAGTATTCTTATATGAACTAATCTTCTTTTTTGTATAGTATTAATTGATTTTAATTATGTTAACGATAACACACCATTTAGTTAGCTTAGCAAAGTTTCTGCATTTGTGTGCATTATGATGATTCTGATTTTGGGCTGTTCCAATACACCTTCAAACTCGGTATATTTAGGATGACCTGGGGAAATTGTGAGATGGTCTGTTTAGGAGTTTAAGGAAATATGTAATACTACGTTTGTGAAAACCCGAAAAATGATGTAAACAAATAATGAACGTGTCGGAAGGAAGCCTCCTTCAGCAAACAAACAACGAGTAACACAACAATAAGAATTATAATAAACTCTTAGCCTAAATGTAGTATCCGAGAGGGCAGCAAGAGGAATGTGGTAGACCACTTATAGGTAAGAAAGAGAGTTGATATAGGCAGTGGGAGGAAGAGAGGGAAAGTGCACAGCTATTGGTTGTAATAAGTAGGAGGCGGGGAAAAAGATTTAACTAGGGAAGGACAACAAGACATTCATGCCTTAGGGTGTCAATGTCCCTGTAAGTATGTATCAGTTTGTTCACTAAGTTCACCCTGTCGGAAGTGCACAGGAAACAGTGGCTGTGGTGGCCAATTCACTGGAAACCATGCGGTCGGTTCCAAATGAGCAGCTAGCAAAGTAATTATTTTACGACGGGTGAATTAATGAATAGGATCCAGCTTTGGAATACTGTTTTTTCTTCTTCCTTTTTTTTTTGGTTTCACTTAAATTTTAATCATCATAAAATATCGACTCTATTTGAAAGAAATCAGCCGTAAGTCATTTGCTGTACATGAATCTATAAACTTTGCTTTGGTAACTACTTGGCCAGTGAGAACAACTATTTGCATGTAACTTGAAGGGTTTTTTGTGTATTTGTTTTGACTGTATTTTTAAATACGCTTTTCTCTGTATTTGAAGATGCACATTGTATCATTTTATTCATATTGTAGCTCAACAGACTATATCATATTTGTAACACTTCAAAATTCGTTCATTAAAAAGTGTTAAAAAAAAGAAGAAAAAAAAAACCCTACCTTCCGCCGCTGCCATTCTTTCAGAATGTAATCCAATTTAATTTTCAAGAATAGTGCCAAGAGAATAATCCAAAATTAGAACCCTTTTCAAACAACACTTTATCGATACTATCTCTCTGAAAATAGAATAAATATTGAAAAGAATTTTGTTTACTTCAAATCAGGCATTGTGAATCAGCACCCCAAAAATTATCACCTACATCTTGTATTCTGTAGATGATAACAAAAATAAAAGGTAAAAAAAAAAAAATACAAATGTGCCTCTGTTTCTCAACTAATTTTTTTTTATTGAAAGTGCACGGCGGCCAGGGCTCCATTGGACCTGGGAGAAGTGAAATTAAAAATATTCGTTTGGCCGAATTTTATGGAAGCCTTACATTTTGGTAAATGAATATTGCTATTGGGCTCAAGACAGTTATTTTACTGTGCTTGGCCCCCCCCCCTTTTCCGCCCCTTCCCGGCCCTGCTCTAAAGCCTTCTTTAAAGTGGACCAGGATAAGAGCTTGCAAGGGGAGGGGGTTACGCTAGTTTTTTTAAACATCAAATATTGTTCTTCGAAAGAGAAAAAATGGCGGCACACTCTGCATTTTAAAACACAAAACGCAGGTTTAAAAAATATATATATATAAAAGAATATTCTTGATTTTTTATTGTTAAAATATAATTGAGATATTCTTGATTACTTAATGTAAAAAAAAAAAAGCTTTAGCTGGCTTTATATACGCTTTGTTTGCTTTTAAAACATATTTTCTTGCTTCTCATTAAAAATAAAACATCCCTACTTTTTTAAATATATTTGTGATTGAGTTTTTATTGAACAAGTGTGTTGTGTGGATGTCAAGAGCTTGGATATAATTACTAACTCATTTAGAACAAACGAAGGCCACCCCAGACACGAGAACGCTGTGTAGATCTCCGGATATGACGTCATAAACTGTACTGACACGTCTTTTGACGCATTGTGTCATTTTGTTATTTTTAATTTACGTCCCTAATAATGAATGGTAAACCCTGTGCAGAAGACAAGCACGGTAAACCAGGTTGTTAGTGCTGATGGGGGAGAGAGCGATATAATAATATGGATCATTGACCACTTATATCCATGGCCTTTCCGGGTGGGGGTCAGCCAGGAATTATTTTGACGGGGATGGAGGGAGGTCAATTTACACCTGGACGCATAAATATTATAAGGCAGCTATAGATCAAATTCTAATACTTTTAAATTATATTTTGCAGAAACCTGTATACATTTTAATGTAAAATTTAAAGTCAAGAAAAATTTGTTGTTTAAAAAAAAAAAAGTAAAATTGTGCATTTTCAAAATTATTTAGACATTAATTTATTCATTCCGATTCAGTTTAACGTTGAACCAGAGATTGACATTTATTGTGACTTAAATGCCGGTTTACGTCAACATGTAGCCGAGAATGGAAGCTTGATATGTCTCCAGATCTGAATAAAACATCATCATAACGAAATTGAGATTTAAATTTAAAATAAACATTAATTTTGTTCTGAAACTCTTTTTAAGTTCATGAATTGTTTCTTCACCTCTCCCAAATACCTCATTATTTGAAAACCGTTGTTATCGCCCTTTTATGGAAATATGTTCAAAAGAATAGCAGTTTCAAAGCGCTCAGACATCTTGAAGTTCCCTTATCAGATCAACATTGTCGCAAATTGTTTTAACAAAAGTTAACATTTTTAAGGAAAACATTTTTGGACCGTTTTCATTATTTGGGAGATTTAGAAATAAAAAACAATATTAAAAATATTAAAATTTTGAAAGCAAACATTTTTTTTCTAAATCTCACAATTAACAATTTTTTATTGACCATGGAGGCAATCTTAACAAAATGATTCTAGTATAACTGCGCCCATAGCGTATATATCACGTCGGCGCCGTATCAGCAAAGGTCATTTAGTGAGGTCTCCTTAGAGAGCATCTCGCTAATCTACAGGATGCTTTCAAGTTTTGGATAGAACGCAATTTGATTGTTTTTTTAAATTCATTTCATGATTCTTAGAATTTTTTCCCCTGTTCCTATTTATAAGTTTTCATTTCTATCTTTATATTTATAGTCTTCAAAGTATCATTCCTTGGTAGCTTTATCACACCTTGACTCAAGAATTCATGTTATTTCTACTGGTGGTTGAGAAAATAATTTGAATACCCGCCCCACTATGATAAGGAACCAAGGACTTTGAGCCATCGTTGATGACAGCTTCTGTCCTTGAAACTATTTGCTGTGTGCTCGTGATTCGCTTTATCAAGTCGTTCGTCGTAATTCTTTAGTAACACACCTAGGACATATTTAGCAGAGAGACACCACATCACTGCACGTCCGATGGGAAATAGCTGACACACACCTTAGGGTTAGTTATCATAACATTAGACATCAACATTGAACCCCTTAATTTTAGCATAGTTGTATGAGGGCCGGAGCATTCCCAAAACTTTTTGACGAGTCACGCCGCACTTGAGGCATCTAGGTTTTCCCTAGGCACCCCACGTCAAAGTCTAAGGGCACGACAAAATTTAAAATTATTTTCAGAGAATTTTTTAATTTTTATTTTATTTTCGACGCCCTTGTAAGAAAGTTGCGGTTCCGCGTCAAAAAGTTTTGGAACCGCTGAGGTAGGTTAATTTTAGCAATCTGAAAGTATGCATGATTTTATACAAATGCTTAAATCCTGGCTTGGAGTTTGCAAAAGTATCATTTTTTTTTAATGTTTGTACGAACCCAAACTATTATTTTACAATATGGTATGAGGGAGGGAAACATAAAAGTAACCGTTGCGTAAATATTTTAAAATTTAAAGCACCCTTTGAGGTTTTATTAAGCGACGTCTATAATTTATTTTTCGAATTTCCGCTAAAGAAATTAAAAAAAAACATTTTTGTGTCAGATGCTGGAAAATCCTAACTTGGGGAAATGCCGATTTTACTTTTCACTCCTTGTAATGTAGCATTCGCATCTACTCCGAGTGAAAGTTTTGTACAATTATAAGTCGTAACATACAGGAAAATTCGGATTGTGGATCGACATATCAATCAAATTTAATGGAGTGTATTGCTTTTGACCTTCTGAAGACTTTGGTAGTCGTTTTGACTCTGTATCACATTCTCAGACATGAAGTCACCATCTCTTACTTGGGAATAGGCATACTCCAACTGATCATGGTCAATTCACCACTACTGAATGCACTAGCCTCGGCGCTGATCTTCCTGCTGATTACACTGAAGTTCATTTCCATGGTTTTTTGCACACCCTTTGCATTGCTCTGCGGGGGATTTGTTAAAATCATTCAAAAGTTCGGAAAAATCAAGGCATTGGGCAACGAGTCGTTACATCCGACTCCCCACAAGATTGGTAAAGAGACTAGCACCACGGGTGACGTCTTCGATGCAGACATTAAATGGATTTTGGGTGATCATTGTTTCAAAAACATCGTCCCTCGGTGTCTTAGAGAGTGTATAGTCTTTCCCGTCTTGAGGAACATATGCCCTCAAATGAGAGAATGTGTGCTCGTGAGGCTGGCGACATTCGTCCAAGTTCGACCTGAAGAATTTCGACTAAACACGCCGTACTTGTCTGAGTTAGCTGCTGCGGGGTTCTTCTACGATAAAACCAGTTCATCTGTCCGATGCTGCAGGTAAGTCGTCTTTAAATAAATATATCTATTTCTTAAACGTGTATACCTTTGTCTACAAAATAAAGAAAATTTCAGAACTTTTGGTAATATTCAAAAGGGGGGGGGGAGGGGGGGATTTCTCCAGCAGGACAAATGTGTCATGTCTATGAGAACACAATTCTGAAAATATCATTTTAATTGGCTTTATTCGAAACAAGCACTAATTACATTTAAAATACATTTTTCTAGATGCACGGGTCAATTTAAAATGAAGAAAGTTCCGGAGAAAAGGGAAGAATGGCACGTACCGTGGTGTCATTTCTATCAGCCGGCTCAAGTCGAGACTATAATGCCGAGCCCTGACTTGGGCGTATCACGGACTACTTTCATGTAAGATTTTAAAATATTTTTTTCATTAAGGACGTATTATTTTTTTTTAATACAAAAATTAACTAACAACGAATTCTCCATGCAGGGAAATAAGTAACCCCTATAATCCGTGACAAGGGAACCTTCTCGTTCTTAGCCTACGCCGTTATTAATTAGTTTGGGGAGAGGTCAGATAGTATTCAGGATCATCAGAGGCGTAGCCAGATTGCTTGGCGCCTGGGGACAAGATTCATTCTAAAGAGCATCCCCTTCTTTTTTCAACTCTTAAACCCATTCTATTCATCAATAAGATAATATCAAAGAATATTTTGGCGCCCCAACTAGTCCGGCGCCCAGGGACATCTGCCCCAGTTAAATACGCCTCTGAGAGTCAGAGAACTTAAATTAATGCGCTGGTAAATACGGGTTAATTTTTTAAAAAAATCAATTAAACTTGATGAACCAGGGGTCCTCAAAATATCATAATAATGAGAAATAGACTATATGTGGCTGTCTTTAATGTTTTTATTTTAAAAATATCTTTGACCGGTCGCAAATAAGAAGCAACGCTTTCGAAAGTGGACGGCCGCAAGAAGGACATTTTTTATTGGTTAAGAGAAAAGTGCAGTTTGGTCTTCTTTTGTTCCAAACTAGACAGGAGACTTCCAACATATCTGAGGACAGTGACTTAAGGGAGCCTGACCAGATAAATAGTGCACCCCGGACAGCTGACTTAAGCCAAGCACACGTCGCCGGCTCCAATCAACTTATACAACGTCATGGACTAGGTGGACGAGTGCAATCGAATAGGCCAGTTCCCTCGGTACAATCCAACAATCTAGGTCCACCAGTACAACCCGCCAGTCGAGGACAACCACAACAACAAACAGTGACTTCGAATAACCCCAAGAAAGGTAAGCTGCTGCACAATAGTTACCGGTCCAGGGCGAACAAGCCAGAGACTCATCTAGATATTGATGGTCAATATTAGACTCATTTTTAGCGCCTTAAGAAAATAGCTCTCTTGAGGAAGTGGATGAAACTTTTATATATATATATATATATATATATATATATATATATATATATATATATATTTTTTTTAGATATTGATGGTAAATATTAGACTCATTTTTAGCGCCTTAAGAAAATAGCTCTCTTGAGGAAGTGGATGAAACTTTTATATATATATATATATATATATATATATATATATATATATATATATATTTTTTTTTTAAAGCATTTTGCCAGTTTTAAGATAAAATGAAAAATGTGATGCCCCCTAATGAAGTTCTAGCATTGAATATAATGATTTTTTTTTAAAATATATATTTTTTTAATAACAGTAATCGCGTTTGATATTACAAAACTTTTAATTTCAAATGATTCTGTCTTTTTCAAAAATTATTTTTTTTAAACTGATTTTTTTTATCTCATATCCCCGCATAGATCCCTTTGGAATGCTCATATTTGACTGTGCTGAATTGATCCCCCCCCCCACCCCAACCCTGCCCTTACATTTGAGATGTCCCATTGAAATCGCTGCAATATATTTGAGTTAAGAAGGACACACATAGAAGGCGTGGTACACAATGTGTTCACTCTTGAGTGATCAGGCGTGGTTTTCCTTTCAGCCAAATGCACACGCTTTCATGTTCTCAAAACTTGGAAACATAAACAAATACGCATCAACTGTGCACCTTTAGTTTTAAATCCTTTATATTATCTTCTAATGGTCATTAGAATAGTAACATAAAATAACCAATAGTTCAGGGGCGTCAAAAAAAATGTGCAGCTGCGAGTCTTAGGGTGTGGGAAAGCACAAATTTGGATTCTTAAATAGCGCGTTACTTGTATGCATGTTATGTCAAATTTGCAGCCCCACACACATTGCTCGATGTCACATTTTAACAAGAATTTATATCTGAGAAACTTTGTGTTTAGGGGGGTTGTTTAAATTTACTTCTAAATACGCAAGAGACAATTAAGCACATGCACAAAATAAGGCTTCTCAAATAACAATTTTGCCACTCTTTAAAGCAAATGGTACAACCAGAGAGAGGTTTGGGGGGGGGGGGGTTGCCACATATTCCATTATGCCATTGAACGGATCTGAATGTAAAAAAACACGTTTTCAAAACCTTTCATGACCTGCCAGTTGAGCCTGCTCAGCGTCCTAAGTGTGCAGAAAAAAGTGTGTGGGGGTGACATAGCCGTTTATCCTTTCTCAAATGTCTCAATACCAGCCCATATACTTGAGCCTTGGTGATTGGGGAGGGGGGATATTAACGAGGAGTAAGTCACAGGCCTCACCAAACCCTCGAAAACTACAGCTGAGTGGCAGAAGGAAACGAATTAAATGAATAATCTGGGATGTTTTCTTTCTGACTTTAAAATAATGTATTTCATTCTCCCAGTACCGCATTGTATATGTATACAGTAATAACACTAGACATGTGATAGCTCCATTTTATAGCTTTTTATTTTAAAAAAATATTTATTTGGCCTTTCTCTTTTGCTTTGTCCATTTGTTTAACAGTTTACAAGACTTTCGAAGCTAGGGAAGAGTCCATCGGCGATAAAGAATGGGCTGTTGGACCTAACACGCCCCACGCCCTGGCAATGAATGGACTTTATTATGGAGGTACCTTGTGGAATGTATCTTAATCATTCATTAGTCATTAGAACCATTGGAATGTATCGTAATCATTCATTAGTCATTAGAACCATTGGAATGTATCGTAATCATTCATTAGTCATTAGAACCATTGGAATGTATCGTAATCATTCATTAGTCATTAGAACCATTGGAATGTAGTGTTATCATTCATTAGTCATTAGAACCATTGTACTGAATCCAAAACAATGATAAACCTACAAAGCATGTGAATATTATTGTAAATTATCTTCATTCAAAATTCTCAAGGGTTTTGTTTGACCTTTGTCTCGTTTCCTACAGGCGTTAGTGACAGACTCTGCTGTTTTTCGTGCAAATTCTTAATCACTGGCTGGTACGAGCCGGGGAGACTGGTCGATGTGAAAAGGGAGCACGCGAAATACAGTCCACTGTGCGGGTCAGTTCGTCACCGGCCGTCCCCAGAGTAGTGAAAGTGGGCGGTGTAAAGCTTGCTGGCGTCAGACAACAGATTTAAAAGCATTGTGATCACAGGAACAAAACGAACAAAAGATCAATCAGGCTGACAAACATTTAAGTATAGATTTCTTATCTTTTAAAAAAAACAAGTTGTTTTGCTAATTTTATAAATAAATGACAAGGATCTATTTGAATATTTTCTAAAAACAAATTAGTTCAATTGTCATCCATTTTTTAAAAAAAATATTTGTTTCTTTAAAAACAGATTTAATGTCTTTTCAAGTTTTGCAGATTAATTTTTTACATTATACCATTTTTTAAATAAAAAATAATAATGTTATCTGATGCCAGCAAGCGATGCATCGCCATTGTCAAAGTTTCTGTTGTCTTTAAATGGTGTGTGTCTCCGTCTGTTCATTCGTACCATTTTTTTTTTTATCTTCTGTACTAGATAGGCCCTAGGGATATACTAATGGGACCCCCCTGATGTTGCCCAATCTTCAACCTCTTTGAATGCTCACAGTAAAAAAATAACCACCCCCACCCACCTCACCTCACCTCACCCACCCACCCCCACCTAAATGAACTCGTTGGTGGCGAGGGGGAGGGGGGCATTCACAATAGCTTACCATTTTCATTGCGACCCGGGTCCGAACAGCGGCGATGTGTTTCCGGTTCCATTTTGACTACATGCTACTCGGATGTCATTTGAGGTAATTTATTTTAGTTAAACTGAAGAAGTAAGTTTACAAACATAGAGTCCATTCAGTTATCTTTCATTTCATATCAAATGTTTGTCTTACAAACCCTACAATAATTTTTAAATATTTTTTTAATTAACCCAAACTCTCAACGGGGCCGAATAGCAGCATCCAAAAAAAAAAAATTGCTTTCCTAAAAGAAAAATGTAAAATGTTTTACTGGCTGTCATTCTCAGAGTCGGATACTCATTTATATAACTATTCATAAGTAATGGGTTTGCCCCACACCTTTCAATGGCGTAGCCGTAGGATTAGGTGGGAAGTTGCCATCACGTGATCTGAATGTTAAATGTCTGCATAACGTCTGTATTCTGTGGCAGCCAGCCTAAACGTATCAGTAGCAAGTTTGGACGTCTGCACGTTCTTTGTTTATGTCCTCTGCGTTGTTTTTAGAGGCTTCGCGTTTATTTAAATGATAGCTTTGCCGAGCCGGTACCCCAGGGTCCTCAGGTATCAGTCGTTTAAATGAAAATACAAAATCATCCTGCGTTTGTTTGTTTTTTTTTATATTTTGTGTAACTGTTTGACTGATTCCCACCCACACACACAAATGGGCCCTACCAGCCTGACACGACTATGGAAGGAAACAGGGGAGGATGTTTGTTGTTGTTTTTTTTTTTTTGTTTGTTACTAAAAAATTTTTTTTAAATTGCATGTAAAAATTATTTTGAACAAAATAAAAAGCACGAATCAATATTTAATATTTTGTGGCGTTGCCGCTGAGGCCGAATAAATCATGTCAGCAAGAGAACTAAATTTCACTCGATAAAAACGCTAGGTCACATTTTGTGAACATTCCAAATTTTCCCATACAAAATAGATCATTTATTAAAATGAAACAAGTCAGGTTACATTCAAATTATAAATTTGAATTTATAAATAACGTTATATCAAGTTGAGGATATGGGAAATTAAAACTTTATCAATAACCCTGGATACATATTTTATATTTCATTACTATTCTTAAATAAGTAGTTGTAGTGGTGGTGGTATATTCATTTCAACATAATATGTATTTTTGTAAATTCTTTGTCATTTTCTCTTTCAACATTTTAAAAATTTATTTTTCGTCTTCTTTAATTATTGTATTTTTTATCTTCTAATTATCATATATGTAACTTAACTTGGCATTTTATTGATTCGAATGTGTGAGAGTTCTTTTAAAACACTTTCTCCTCAAGAAATTTAAAAAAAAAATATTTTACCTAAAATTTGATGTTTCCTTTAGAAAGTACGGGACCAAAATAAAAATTTTCCACAAATCACTAACATATACCCCGACCCCCCCCCCCACACACACACACTCAAACGCAGCTTTTTAAAAGAAATTTTTCACTCCACCTCCTGCTCCAACCTTCTACTCCAAATATATTTTTTTTTTTATTTTCTGTTTTTTTAAGTTTAACATAACATGCAAGGCTTATTTCATTACAATGTATTTCACACTTTAATTGCACACCGAGGTTTGCGCATTTATTAAAATTCCCGTTTGGTTTTATTATCCATATTTAACTGAGCTTTAAAATAATAAATAATCAGGCCATGTTGGATAAAATGTGCATTTCAATAAATTCATCATTAAAATATTCCTTTTTAAATCTTTTGTACTATCTCAGTGTGCATCATTTATTGTTTTAAGTGTAACCTTTTCATACAGTATATTTAGTTAATTGAGTTTCCACTTAAGTTATTTTTATAATTATTTAATTTAAACAAAATTACATTAATGTATACATTTTAAAATTGAATGTTAAGAGAAGGGGAAAAAAACAACTATTTCTGAATAAAGATGATCATGATATTTTACTAATTTATTTTTATAAGATAAGAATGAAATCAATTAAGTTTCATATCAATTTTGTATCCCATTTTCATATTCAGACATTTAAAGTAAAGTTTTAAAAAATATAGTAATTTAGCAGTGAACTTTTTTTTTAATGCATTTAATTTTTTTTTTGGTCTCCCATTTGTGAGCTCAAAAGACTACGGTATTCAATAGTCAAACCTATAAAACGAATTTATTTACTGAAGTTTAAAAAGCACGCATGGTAATTTGTTGAAAACATCCACTCATTATTGTCACTTTTCGCAACCGGTTCAGATTTTTATTAGCAGTAATGTTAATGTTTTTCATTTCGGATAAATATCCATGATGTGGTCCTAGGCTTGTTTAAGTCAAAGAGATAATGCTTTATTTTTTGCTTGCGTTAAGTTTTTAAACCGTCTTGATTCTTTCACTAAATGTATTTTAAATATTTATCTTACATACCACTGATTTTGTTGGTTCAGAATATAATCCAAATTTTAATTTTCAGAAAAGAAGACCATGTAAATATTCCGAGTAAAATCAGGCTGTACTCATAACACTGTAATCATCCTTTTGAATATTTTGTTGGTGTCCTTGATGGCATACGGTCCGAAGTCCCTCATCCTTCTGAAATTAGAATAAATATTGAAATCAATTAAAATCCTATGCAAACTTTGTGAATTTGCAAAACAATTTAAAAAAAATAATAACTTGCGTTTATTTGTCTTAAATGAGAACAATTTTTGCATTTGATTTTATTATTAGAAATGTACGACTGTACGTGTGTGTAATATATTGTATGTAATGTATGTAATAACAGACCAACCGGACATCGAAGAGATAGAGTCCATCTGGCAGAAAGTTATTGCCGTTTGAAATTTGTTAAAAGGATTATTTCGCCAGGAATCAAAAAAGTTTTTTTTTTTTACTCCACTCACTCTCCACTACATATTTTACGTAAGGCTTAGTCTTTTGAACATCATTTGTTGTTTTTTAATGAAAAAAACGGAATCTCCGCATGTTAAAAGCAGAAACTCTTTCTTGATTTTATCTTTATTTTTAACAAAAAAATTATTGTTTTGCCTATTATCATTCGTCTTTTTTTTTTAAACCAACAATTGTTTTTCTTATTTATTTTTTAACCATTTAATTTTAACTGTTTATTTATACGCTTTTAGTGTTGATGTTGCTTTTTTTCTACTTCATTGCTTATTTTTATCACATTTTAACATCATTTTACAATGTTAACCTGGTGTGTGTCGATTTACTCTTCTCTAAAAAAAAAAATACTGAATTAAAAAAAAATAATAATTTAAAAAAACTACCATTGAGTTTTTATTGAATGAGCTAAATATGTGGATTGGGTGAGTTTTAATGTAATTAACTGAAACAGAACAAACATCCGGTCATCTCAAACTCGAGTAAGCTGTGTGGACGTCCAGATATGGCATCATAAACGACACTGCCCTCGAAAAAACTTTGATTAATTAAATAGCATTCTGGTAACAATTTTTTTTTTGTCAGTTCGTTCACATTAGTTTTCGAAATAAAATAATTGAAAATAAATCAATTTCATTAAAAAGCGAAAAATTTTCAAATTTATCTTTCGCACACTTCCTTGATTTTTTTTTTTTTTAAATTGGTTGAAAAAATATATTGAAAAGAAAATTCGTCTGAAAAAATTGTTAACAATTTATTGAAACCATGAGATCGAACCAACAACAATGGAAACACAAGTAGAAATGTAATATTTTTAGTAAGTGATATAAAATAAATAAATACAATACTTATTATGGAATAAAGAGATATCTTGGAGGAAAAATTCACTCTAAATTTTGAAGGAATGATGTTTTATTTTCGATAAAACTTCATCAAAATAATAGGGATCATGAGTTCTGGGTTCAACATTTGATTCCTCTGCTTTGTTTAAAGCAACCATTTACGCAATGTGAAATATTGATAGCCTATATATGCAGGTCTTTAGGCACAAGCAGTAACGTCCATATAGGTATGCGACGGGTGGGGGGGCCGCAATGGGTCACACCCTCACAGGTTTGGTGGGTTGGGGGGGGGACAAAAAAGTAAATGGGAAAGAGCTTGGATCAAGTCAGTTTCATAACACATCTAAGATAAATATAAGATCAGGGTGCCACAAGAAAAGGGTGCCAACGTAGTAGGTCACCACCAGGGCAGGGCAGACTTGAAGGACGTCGTCCATTTGGGTAGCCTGGTGACACCGTGACTTTATTGAACTTTGTTTCACAAACCCTGGTGACGCCACCAGAGCATAAGATGACGTGGTCAACTAAGCAAGAGTAGGATATGGACCCCGCAGACTGGTTCCATTTGCATTTAATCAACGTCGTTACATTAAAACGGCCAGGTACGAATGTAGTCTATAAATAGGTTATGGAGAGCAGGGAGGTCGGTGGTCGTTGTGTCCTTTGTTTATTATTATTTCCCTCAACTACTGAACTTTTCAACTTCATTGGAAACACAAGAAAGAACTTTTTATGTGTGTGTGTGTGGATATTTGTAAAAGACAATCGGCGGCAAGCTAAGTTTCATAAACACAACCAGTCACTCTTTTCATATAGACATAAATGACCAGTCGCATGGGATGCTGGACACCAGCATACAGGTGGCAACAGTAAATCGTTACACTTTAAAAAAAAAAGCCTTAAATGAAAGTAATTGAAATAAACAAAAACATGCCGTTCCGCCATTTATTCATAAATGTCTATTTCTGAGAAATAAAGAAAACAAAATAATGAGTTCCGTGAACTCTTACTTTTATGTCATAATTGGAAATTCGAATTGTTGTAAAAGAGAAACGTTTTAAATGGCTTTAACACAACGGACATTTCCGATTTGTGTTTTTTGAAAGTTATTTTTATAATATTTTTATTTACTTTGTGTGCGCGCGCATGCTACCTCAGGCAGTTCTAAAAGGACACACGACAGGAGCCGTTGGTACATTGCACGGTAAACAAGTTTCTTCTTTAAAATCAATAGTGTTTTTGCTGTTGTAGAGTTCTCTTAAATAGCAAAATATCAATTGTAATAATATAAACTAATGAACCTTAGCGTTATTTTCATCATCAAAACTAAGGAACTCCCATTATGAAACACAAGATTTAAAAAGTATAGATATAATATATATATATATATATATTATACATATATATATGTTGCAATGTCCTGCCGCCATATCACAAGAACGTTGAATATGACTGACGACAAGGTATTCTTTGCCAGCTCCAAGCATTAAGCATCATATACAGTACGCTTGTTAACTTTTTAAAATTAATTACTTTGTTTCTTAAATTTGAAAAACAGTATTAAGCTGTTTTCGCAATCACGGCCATTTTGTAAAATCTTCTCCCTAGGCCATTTTAGTGAGTAAAATCAAGTTTAATTCTGTGTCATTAATATGATTTTTAAGATCCCATCAATTTTCAATTAGTTAAGGAATGCCATTAAACATGTGTTTTGTGATGTTGCTGACTCATTCTTCGATAATAATTAATCGTTATAGGTACAAACAATGACGTGATGAAAGATTACGCGCAATCTATTTTAGGGAAAATCCGAAAATATCACACAAAGTACTATGAAAGAAATGTCGACTGAAACATAAAACATGATCGTTATGGACCTGAGGCACTTTCAAGGAAAGAAAAGTGTTTGGGAGGGGGGGGGGGGGTAAATGGATTACTTGAGCGGGGGTCTAAAAAAAGCCACCGGCTAGACTTGGAAGTGGTATATTACGAAAAATTACCTTCTCACTTAATAAGAAAAAAAATCCGAAAATATCACACAAAGTACTATGAAAGAAATGTCGACTGAAACATAAAACATGATCGTTATGGACCTGAGGCACTTTCAAGGAAAGAAAAGTGTTTGGGAGGGGGGGGGGGTGTAAATGGATTACTTGAGCGGGGGTCTAAAAAAAGCCACCTGCTAGACTTTGAAGTGGTATATTACGAAAAATTACCTTCTCACTTAATAAGAAATGTGTCACATTTAATTAGAGCCTGAGAAAACCTCTGATGACGTCAAGTCATTTGAATTATACTTAGTAGGAGTGGGACGAACTCTAATTTATCCACATTTTAAAAAAAACAACTGATCCCGTATCGTATTTGAGAAATGTTGAGCCTTACGCATCAGGTTAACTTAATATTAATGCCAGTTCTTAGGGCTCGTAGCGCAGTTTAAGTTTAGACAAGTACAATGTTAACAACAAACAACAAAAAAAACAAAAAAAACAACAACAACATTAAAACGTAAGAAAATACTCTTTAAAACGAAAAGGGAAGTTTTATTAAAAACCTCTATCAATAAATGAATTAGGAAAACGCATAGAAAAAAAAAGTATGGCAAGAAAACTGCTTCACAAAATTCGGTGTTGAGAAAAGTTAACAGCTTCTATTACACTGCACCGCCATTAAATATGTTCACAACGGTTATCATTATTGTGAAAAAAGGAAGAAAAAAAAAGGTTCACAGACAGCGTAATAATGATGGACAGAAATTCACCCACGGAAATGTGAATATATGGAAAATGACCAATTATTGATGAATGAGAATAAGAGAAGAGTTAGTAGATAAATATTAGTGAAACACGGCAATAAGACCGAGAGTAAATTACTTTCGATGACGTGAATCACACTGGATGCCTTATGGGAAATCAAGCTAATTTAAAATGGCCGTGTGTACTCATGTCGTAAGGTAATGACAGCTGGTGTGCAAAATAAGTGAATCGAATTGTGAAGGTCCTAGAAAAAGGCGATCACGTCATCGACATAGATCATAAAGGCTATTTGGCATGGGTCGCACTGAAATAAAGGGCTGAGACTTCCATTACACAGA